AAAAAAAGAAAAAAAATCTTAAAAAAAAAAAAAAAAAGAAAATATCTTCTGGAAGGGGGATCATATTCCTTGGCTTCCGTGACTACAACTCAATACACTGGGAATCTGTGATGAAAGTCAGAGGGCGTAGGTGCTGTCTACACAGCCAGCGTTACTGTCTAAAGTCTTTGGATCCCAGTGATGGTGTTTGTGCCCTTAGTTTCTGGGTCACAGGTCAGTATTTTGTTTGTGTGGATGGGAGCAGCTCTATTCCGAGGTCTGGTCCACATCCTGAAGTCCCAGACTAGGTTGAGAAGTTTTATTTCATTTCAAAAAAGCCCTGTGTGTCCTCTTTGCTTCTCCATGAACAGGGTGTCCTGTTCCCAGACCTGAGCTGATCTACCAGCTGGAGCACGGGCAAGAGCTGTGGACGGTGAAGAAAGACCTCTCCCAAAGCACCTGTGCAGGTAGGAGCCCGGGTGTGGGCAGCTGGGAGAGCCTGCAGGCTGGAGACCTGGGGAGACCACTGGCCGTGGTTCCCTGGGGAAGCTTCTTGTCGTGGCCTCTGGTGGTTTGGACGCCATGGAGCCCTTTGGCCCATGGGCCTTCTGTCCTCCCAGAGAGCAGAGGTGTGAGCTAAGATCTGTGTTGGGCCCCAACTGCTTGGGCTGAAAGCCTGGCTTGCCGATCACCTGCTCTGTGGCTCTAGCAAAGTTGCAGGATCTCATCGTGTGTTTGTGTATAAGTTCGGCTAAGTTAAAGCTAGCTACCGTATCAGACATACTCCAGGATCTCGGTGCTCAGCGTGTGGAAGCTGGTTTCCTCACTCACACCAAGGTGCATGTGGGTCAGCAGGCAGGGACCCAGGTCCGTTGTGTGGTTAACGTGTGGCTTTAAGGTTGTCCTGACACCCTCCAGCTGGCAGAGGAGACTGGAGAGGGGCAGGGGAGATGTCACACCCACTCCCACAGACACCAGGTCCCCTCACATCCCACTGACAGGAACTAGGCATCTGGCCTCACTTGGGTGCCTGGGGCTGGGAAAGGAGGCCGAGCTGTGTGTCCAAGGAGAGGAGCAAAGAGTTGGGTGAGTGTGGTCTGCTACTCTCACTCTGTTCCGGAAAATGCTAGTAATAGTAGCTTCTATGTCACTGGGTGGTTGGGGATGTAATCACGTAGTGCATTAATGCAGAAAACTGCCTAGCACAGCCTCTGAGCCATCATGACAGTAAGCTGTTGGTGTCATTCCTGTCACATTGGTCAGAATAAAGAAGGTGTCTCACATGTCCCTCTGCACTCTGAGGAAAGGGCCTTTCTTCCTCTCCTGGTCCCTCTCTCCAGCTACACTCTGCCTACCCCCTTCCCACCTTCTCCATCCACCCCTCCTCTGAGCGTCAGTCAGAATCTCAGAAGCACTCCCTTGTTCCCTGTCTTTCTGTCCCTCCTCATTGGTAAGACCTCAAGGTGACATTTGACCACCTCTGCCCCACACCTGGACTGCTGAGGGCATTGGGGCTGCTGTGTGTGGTGATTGGTGCCACCACAGAGTCATGTTCTCTCCCCTCTATTGGTGCCTTGGGTTGCTTTGTCCATTCTCTCCACAGCCCCTCAGAATCTGTTCTAGGCCTTCTGCCCTCTCCTCAATCCCACATCTCTACTTGAAAATCTCAAAGGCACCCAAAGTCAACCTGCCTGGCAAGGACCCCCTATGTTGTTCACTCCTCCCACCTCCCAAGTCTGAGTGATTGGTTAGACGCAGGTTGGAAGACTAGATACAGCCTCAGAGAATTCCTCATACCTCCACCTCCACCACTCCCCATATCCTACCATCCAGACAGTTACCACTTCCCACAGATGTCTCAGCATTTGGCCAAGGATCTGTCAGCAAGTTTTCATGTTGAAGGTAAAGTCTGTCTCCTTCTACTGCGTGATTTAGACTGTCATGTCTGTGGTGTCTCCTTTGACCCAGCAGGACAGGTTTTGGTGCTGGCCATGGCCAAGGCTTGAGCTAGAGTCTAGACCACACCTTTTCAGGGAAATTCTTTCTTCAGTTGTATTCTGCTTGTTTTGTAACTTGATCCTTTCTCTACTCAACATAAAAATATTCTGAAAGTCCTTACAGTTGAAGAAAATAAATAAAAAATGCACCTGTCTCACATTGTATTCATCCGCTCTCTGGGGCATTTAGTTCCTTACATCTTTTCAATCACAAACACTGCTGCCAAGAACATTCATGTCTGTTGGTCATCTTGCACATGACTAGGGGTGTCTGATGTTCCTCCCAGTGAAATGGATTATAGGCTATGCAAATTTTCAAGTTTACACAATAACTGCGATTGTTGTCTAAAGAGGCTGCACCAACTTACTCTTCCACCTGGACAGAAAGGAGGTTCCATGGATCAGATCCTGTCCACTAGTTGATATTCTGAGGCTCCTTAATTTTTGCTTATCAAATGGACACACAGTTGTATCTGATTTGGTCTTGATTTGCATTTCTCTCATTGTTAAGCTCCAGCACCTTACCGTATGATTTTAGGTCAGTCTGTATTTTCTTCTTTGAAATGTCATTTTATGATGAATGCTTATTTTTCTGTTGACTTGTTTGCCTTTTGATTTGTAGGGTTTCTTTGTACATTCCTGATACTTTTGTCAGTGATAGATGTTGCAAATATAATTTTCTACTATTTAATTATCTTTTTACTCTTTAAAGTAAATTTTGTTGAGTAGAGAGGTTCTTATTTTAGTGTAGTGTAATTTATGACATTTCTAAATTACTAATGATTTTGTGTCTTGCATAAAAATCTTGCTTTACCCCCAATATCAAAAAGATATTCTTGTTTATTTTATTCTAAAAGTTTTAAAACTTGCCATTTGACATTTGACTCTTCAATTGGAGGTGGAGGTCAAGTAGAGTGTGAGATGGGAATGCAGTGTATTCATTCCCAGCGTGTCACCAATTTTTCTAGCTCCATTCACTGCACATGCTCTCCTTTTACCACTGAGCCACTCTGCCTCCTCCGCCATCTACCAAGACTCCATATGTGTGTGAGCGTATCTCCTGAGCTCTCTCGGTTCTGTTTCCATTGCCTGTTTGTCTTCTCTGTGCTGGTACTACAGTGTCTTAAATCTGTAAGCCCATGATACTATTATCTGGTTAGTTAGGTACCCTTCTCTGTATTCTTGCCTCTTTGGCCTTTAATACAAACCTTACAGTCAGACTACCAAGTTCCACTATAACCCAACTGGCACTTTACAGGGAATTGTATTGAATTTATATATTCATTTGGGTGGACTTACTGGTTTTATATTATTTAATTATTCACTGCTATACCTCTTTAATGTCTTCAAGTAAAGTGCTATCATTGTTTCCATCTAGATTGTGTGTATTTTGCTAGCCTTTTCACCAAACTGTTCCTCAAGCATACCAGACTCAATATGTCCAGCCCAGTCCTGCTCACCTCCTGCCTTATGAGCCCTGTCCTGGGAGTCCTCACTGTCACCCAAGTCAGAACCCTGGGGATCACCTTCCCCTCTGTTCCCACCTGCCCCTGGATTCTCATCAGCACTGTGCTCGCATGTTCTGCAGTGCCGTGTACATTCTGTCTTCTGAGGCTACAGTGCCCCTCCCACCTTCTCTTTGTGGCAACTCTTATGGTGCCAGTAGGACTCACATCATGGGCTCCTCCTATTGGAAAACTCCCCTGATCTCTTCCCGCACAGAATTAGCCAAACTCAGAGTTAAGGACACAGAACTCTAAGGCTGCCAAGTCTGCCCAGGTCTTCTGACACCAGCCAGAAGTTCAGGGATTTCCCAAAACCACTATCAGGTTCGATGATTTGCTAGACAGACTCACAAAACTCCCTAAAACCTTCTATACTCACTGTCATATTTATTATAGATAAAGGATACAAATCAGAAGAGATGCAGAATGTGGGGCTGGAAGTGTTCCAAACATGAAGCTCCCGCGTCCTCAGCAGCTCATTACGTCCTGGTGTTGATGTATGGCAGGATGTGCGTGGAGTTTTGCCAAGGCAGGAAACTCTCCAGAGCCTGCGTATCCAGAGTTTTATTGAGCCTTCATTACCTGAGTACGATTGATTGAGTCTTTACCAGTGGGACTCAGTCTCCAGTCCTCCTTCCCTTTCCAGAGGTCCAGCTGATACCTCATGACTCAAAGCCCCACCTTTCTCATTGCGTGGTCAGTCTTTCTGATGCAGCCAGACCTTACCCTGAGTCATCTCCTTAGCATAAACTACCTAGGGGCCTACCATGAATAACAGGCATTCCTGTCACTCTGGAGATACCCAGAATTTAGAGGTTACTTATTTGGAGTTGGTACAAAGACCAAACTTCTCCTTGGGGGAAGTTAATTTCGCATTACACACTTCATGGCTTCTCTCAGGGCTGTGTTAGATGCCCTTTCCCAGTGTTCTTTTTTTTTTTTTTTAAAGATTTTATTTATTCCTTTTTTCCCCCCAAAGCCCCAGTAGATAGTTGTATGTCATAGTTGCACATCCTTCTAGTTGCTGTATGTGGGACGCGGCCTCAGCATGGCCGGAGAACTGGTGTGTCGGTGCGCGCTTGGGATCCGAACCCGGGCTGCCAGTAGCAGAGCGCAAGCACTTAACTTCTAAGCCATGGGGCCGGCCCCTCCCAGTGTTCTTGTAGCAGCGTGGGATGTCTTCGCTCAGAGGACACTCAAAACACAGCATCATTATTACTCTGTCCAGCCACGTCCAATCTGGAATTGTGGTGGTACCTTCACTTCAGATCCTCCATCTCCTCTTCCAGCCTCTCCCCCCGCGTCTCCCTTTCAAGGTCTCAACAGTCCAAAGACCAGGAAAGAAAGAAATTGCTATCCTGGGATTTAGAGGTAGCAAAACATAGCAGACACAGAGGCAATATTTTCATCTTCATTTTTTTCACTGAAATGCTGATTTTGTTTCTTCTATGTTGGCATTACTAACAGGCCCTGTTGTATACTGGCTTTCTTTCAGGTGACGAAGGAAAACCCAAGACCACAGAACCTACCACTTGTGAGCCAGCCCAGTCTGAGGGAGTCTCTCTCCAGGAACAGCTAACACAAGGAGCCCCAGGGGACTCCCAGGTGTGCCGAACCAAGGATCAGGAGGGGCCATTGGAAATGCAAGAAGGAGACTTGAGACCAGGGATAGACCCCTGGAGGGAGAAGCTCCCTGGGAAAATGAGCGCTGAACGTGATGGTTTAGGGACAGCTGATGGTGTATGTTCATGGATTGTACAGGAGTCTGTCCCTCTGGGAGCTGCTGTTCTTGACCATGACTCATGTGGATCAGGTGAAGATCCCATCATTCGGGAAGAGGAAAATATCTTTAAATGCAATGAATGTGGGAAAGTTTTTAACAAGAAACACCTCCTTGCTGGACATGAGAAGATTCACTCTGGAGTGAAGCCGTATGAATGCACCGAGTGTGGGAAAACATTTATTAAGAGCACACACCTCCTTCAGCACCACATGATCCACACTGGGGAGAGGCCCTATGAGTGCATGGAGTGTGGGAAGGCCTTCAACCGAAAGTCATATCTTACACAACACCAGCGGATTCACAGTGGAGAGAAGCCTTATAAGTGCAATGAATGTGGAAAGGCCTTCACCCATCGCTCCAATTTTGTCTTGCATAAGAGGAGACACACTGGAGAAAAATCTTTTGTGTGCAAAGAATGTGGGCAAGTCTTTCGACATAGGCCAGGATTCCTTCGACATCACATCATCCATGGTGGCGAGAATCCCTATGAATGCTTCGAGTGTGGCAAGGTCTTCAAACACAAGTCATACCTCATGTGGCACCAGCAGACTCACACTGGGGAGAAGCCCTATGAGTGCAGTGAATGTGGGAAAGCCTTCTGTGAGAGCGCAGCCCTCATTCACCACTACGTCATCCACACTGGAGAGAAGCCCTTTGAGTGCCTTGAGTGTGGGAAGGCCTTCAACCACAGGTCATACCTCAAGAGGCACCAGCGAATTCACACTGGGGAGAAGCCTTTTGTGTGCACTGAATGTGGAAGGGCCTTTACCCACTGTTCCACTTTTATCTTGCATAAAAGGGCCCACACTGGAGAGAAACCTTTTGAGTGCAAAGAATGTGGGAAAGCCTTTAGTACTAGGAAAGACCTCATTCGGCACTTCAGCATCCACACCGGAGAGAAGCCCTTTGAGTGCATGGAGTGTGGAAAGGCGTTTAACCGTCGGTCAGGCCTCACGAGGCACCAGCGGATTCATAGTGGAGAGAAGCCTTATGAATGCATGGAGTGCGGGAAATCCTTTTGCTGGAGCACAAACCTGATTCGACACGCCATTATCCACACTGGAGAGAAGCCCTATAAGTGCAGTGAATGTGGAAAGGCCTTCAGTCGCAGCTCATCTCTCACTCAGCATCAAAGGATTCATTCTGGGAGAAACCCTGTCAGGGTAACAGAAGTGGGAAGACCGTTCACAAGTGTACCAACCTCAGTCACCCTCCGAGAACTCCTTTTGGGGAAAGACTTTTTGAATGTAAACACCGAGGAAAGTCTTTTGCCAGAGAAAACATCTACCACAGCATCTGATCATACATACCAAAACCAAAGAGAAACCCCACAAGTATCTTCACTGTGAGAAAATCTTTTGTTGCAGATCATTACTTGTCATGTAAAGACGTGTTTTAGAAATTGACCCAGCCTCTAGAGCCTTATCCTGTATCTCAGAATTCATCCATGAGGGAGAGACCAGTGCTTATTGTACACCAAGGATAACCTTCAGCTACATCTTTCTCCTTAGTTTACACTGCAGTGTTATCTCAGGAAGTCTTTTTACAAGGAGGAGTGGACTTAGAAAAGAAAATGAAATGCAAACACACTTTGTTTGAGACTTCTCTATCAAGTCTACAGCACTTTGTCATGGATTCCTTAGTTCACTTGGGGCAAGGGGAATGTTTCAGAAGCAAATGGCCTTGACCCTTTATGTGTCTTGTATGTACATTCATTGCTGTCCAGTGTCAGGAGAGTTAGAGAGTTAAGGGAAGATATTTTAAGGAGATAAGGATACACGAATGAGTGGCACATTTTATTGCACCAGTTAAGACTATTTAAGGCTTTGATTTTTAAAAGACAAACCATTCTTTGTGTGGTTTTAGACACTTAACACTCCAACTTTTTGTTCGCAGTCTATTGTTTAATTTCTGCAGCTACATGGTAAATCTGAAAATTGAGTAAAATGATTCCTCTTTATTTTTATTTAAAATTGATTTAGCTTTCCTAGTTCCTTTGACTTTCCATATAAATCTTAGGATAAGTTTGTCTATTTTTACAGAAAATCTTGGTCTCATTTTTATAGAAATTGATTTAAATCTGTAGATCAATTTGTTGAGAATCATCATGAACATAGTACATGATATACTGCATTTATTTAAGTAATTCTTGATTTATCACCATTTTATAATTTTCAACAGAGAGGTTCTGTACGCTTTTGTTAGGGTTTGTATCTAGGTTTTTGGAGGGTTTTTTTTTTTTTTTTTTTGAGTTATAATAAATGGCATTGATTTTTTTTTTTTTTAAGATTTTATTTATTTTATTTTTTCCCCCCAAAGCCCCAGTGGATAGTTGTATGTCGTAGCTGCACATCCTTCTAGTTGCTGTATGCGGGACTCGGCCTCAGGATGAACGGAGAAGTGGTGCCTCGATGCGCACCCGGGATCCGAACCCGGGCCACCAGCATCGCAGCGTGCGCACTTAACCACCAAGCCACAGGGCCGGCCCAATGGCATTGATTTTTAAATTTTAATTTTCCACAGGATCTTTGATAGTATACAGAAATATAATTGCTTTTTGGATGTTGTTTTGGTATCCTGCAACCTTGCTGAACTCACTCATTAGCCATTTCTTTGGATAGAATCCGTGGGTTTTTTTAATAGAAATGTCACCTGCAAAAGGAGACTCTTATATTTCTTCCTTCCCGGTCTATATATTTACTATTTCCTTTTCTTGTCTTACTGCACTAGCTAGGACTTCCACTATGATGTTGATTAGGAGTAGTAAGAAGTAAGGAGTAGTCACATCTTTGACTGATTCCTGATATTAGGGGGGAAATGTTCCATTTTTCATCATTAAGTATGATGATAGTTGTAAGTTTTTTCCATAGAGTTTTCTTACGAAGTTTAGAAAGTTTCTCTCTTTTCCTAATTTGCTGAGATTTTTTGTTATTATGAATAAGTATTGGGTTTTGTCAAGTGCTTTACATTAACTGATACAATTATCTGATTTTTCTTCCACAGCCTGTTGATATGTATTTCATTGATTGAGTTTTGAATATTGAACCAGCCTCGCATTCTTGGAACAAACCCCACTTGGTTGTGGAGTATAATTTTTATGTACCATATTAAAAGCATTCCATTTGATTATTTTTTGTCGAGGATGTTTTCTTCTAATTTCTTGAGTGATAATCATGTGTAGTTCTCATTCTTTTTTGTTTGTTTTTTTAAATGACTGTCGTTGTTGGTTTTTGGTGTCTAGGTGATAGTGACTTCCCAAGTTAAATTGGGAGGTATTGGTCCTTTCTATTTTTTTTTTTTTTTTGGAAGACTATAATTGGTGTTATTTTGTTATTTTAATGTTTGGTAGTATTCTCCAGTGAGCCATTTGGGCCTGGAGATTTTTCTTTTGGATCCTTTTTAATTACATATTATTTTATTTGAGAAGTATAGAACTGTTGAGAGTATTTCATATTGGATAAATCAGATAGTTTGTCCTTTTCAAGGAATTTCATCTAAACATTCCATTTTGTAGACTTATTTGAAGTATTCCCTTATCTTTTTAATAGCAGCTGGATCTATAATTAGGTCCCATTATATTCCTGATTTTGGAAATGTGTCAGCTCTCTTTGTATCTTTGTCAGTCTTCTTAGATAGTTATCAATTTTATTGATCATTTTGAAGAACCAGTACTTTATATCATTGATTTTTCACTAGTATCTGTTTTTTGTTTTTTTTTGTTTTTTTTTTTTTTGTGAGGAAGATCAGCCCTGAGCTAACATCCGTGCTAATCCTCCTCTTTTTGCTGAGGAAGACTGGCTTTGAGCTAACTATTGTCAGTCCTCCTCCTTTTTTCTCCCCAAAGCCTCAGTAGATAGTTGTATGTCATAGCTGCACATCCTTCTAGTTGCTGTATGTGGGACGCGGCCTCAGCATGGCCGGACAAGCGGTGCGTTGGTCCGTGCCCAGGAACTGAACCCCGGCCGCCAGTAGCGGAGCGTGCACACTTAACTGCTAAGCCACGGGCCCGGCCCACTAGTATCTGTTTTTAATTTCACTGATTTTTGTTCTGATCTTTATTATATTCTTTCTTCTACTTTGTTTTGGTTGTATTTTGCTATTTGTATTTTTTGAGGTGGGTGTTGAGATTATTGATTTGAAACTTTGTTTCCTAATAATAGCGTTAAGTTCTATAAATTTCCTTCACAGCACTCTTCTAGCTTTGTCCCACAAGTTTTAATATGTTTTAATTACAATTTATTCATTTCTACAGATATTTCTTGATTCTTTTAGAGACTTCCTCTGTAACCCATGGATTATTCAGAAGTATATTATTTCATTTCCTAATGTTTGGAGTATTTCATGCTATCTTTTTGTTTTTGATCCAGTTTCTTTCACGTTTGGTCTGACTGCTTAAATTTGTTGAAGTTTGTTTCATGACCCAGGATATGGTTTATCTTGAATGTTCTGTATGGCTGCTTGAAAAGAATGTGTCTTCTGCTGTCATTGGGTGGAGTTTCTGTAAATATCTGCACGATCCTATTGGTTGGTGGTATCATTCAGATTTTCTATATCTGTGGCTGATTTTCTGGCTCATACTTCTATCAGTAGCTGAGAGGGGGGTGTTGAAGCCCTGCAGTGTAATGGTGGAATTGTCCTCCTTTAAATTCTAGCAGTTTGTGCTTCATGTTATTTCAAAGCTCTGTTAATTTGGTGCATACAGATTTAGGATTGCTATGTCATGTTGGTGTATTGACCCTTTTATCTTTATGTAATGTCTCTTTTTACCTCTGTTCATTTTCTTGCCTTTGAAGCATACTTTATCTGATATTAATATAGTCACTACTGCCTTTTTTGATTAATGTTTGCATGGTTTATATTTTTCCATAATTTTATTTTCAACCTTATCTATATTATTATATTTGAAGTACATTTCTTATAACAGCACATGGTCAGGTCATGCTTTTTTATCCATTCTGCCACTTTCTGTCTTTTAATTGATAGATCATTTAAATTTAAAGTAATTATTGATATGTTAGGGCTTAAGTTAGTCTACGATTTTATGCTTTGACTTTTGTTGTGTTCCCTGTATATTGTTCCTCTATTTTCTGGTTGTTTTTGTTATTTGGGTGGTTGGGGTTTTTTTGTTTTGTTATTGGTTGGTTTGGTTTGGTGTTTTTTTTTATTTGGTTTTTTGGGGGATGTTTTTGCCTTCCTGTAGATTACTTACATTTTTTTTTTAGAATTCCATTTGACAGATCTATAATGTATTTTGAATTTATGTCTAATTTTTTAATCGGTTACTCTAGGTATTGTATTGTACATACGTAACTTATCACAGTCTAATGTTATCAGCAATTTAGCACTTTGATGTGTAGAAACCTTAATTCCATTAGGTACCTTTACATTCCCCATTCTTAATATAATTGTTCTAAGTATTTCCTCTTCATACACTGAGCACTATATTGAATATTGTTATAATTTTGCCTTAACTAACACATGTTTTTTACAAAACTTACTGTTCATTTTACTCAAGTAGATGAAGCCATGATCATTTATCTGCAAATCACTTATCTCATTTGATAATACATCTTGGCCATCCCCTTAGGTTGAGGGAGATAAACCAAACTCTCTTCAATGGCTGCATAACCTGTTGTAACTGTGTAGAAAATACAGATAATCTCTGGGTTTGAGGTGGTGGGGAGAGAGAGAAGGGCGAAGGTAGGCATTTGGTTTTCAGCATTGTGTGTGAGGTGCCTGAAGAACATCTCAGTGAATCCCACTATCTTCTGCCGTGTTGCCCAAGCCAGACACCTCACAGCCATTTTTCTTTCATCATCCCAGCATCCGGCCACTCTCCCATTCTGTTCATTTTACCTTTTTATTTTCCTTAGTAGACACTCAATGTATGTGTATTTTAGTGAATGGGTACACACAGTAGGGTATTTTTATTACAATGTTTGGGTCCCTCACAGAATGTTTACACAAAGCTGTGTATAGTTGGCACAGTATATGACATATTCTCAAAGAAAATCTACATGGGCTTTTATGGCCAGATCTATAAGACTTAAGTTATAAGGAATGATTGTGTCAGAGGTCCTCAAGACCACCCCAGGTTTGATGATTTGCTAGGAAGACTCAAAGGACTCAGCATATTGTCCTACTCATCAACTATGATTTATTACAGGGAAAGGAATCAAAGCAAACTCAGCGAAGGGAAAAGGCACAAGGACTGAAGACCAGAGGAAACCAGGGACAGTCTTCAACAGTCCTGTGTCAGGGAAGTCACATGGGACATGCTTAATTTAAGCTCCTTCATGCAGTTATGACAGTGGATTGAAATGTCTACCAGCGAGGCTCATTAGAGGCTCAGTGCCCAGGGGTTTTTTATGGCACTCTTTCTAGCACATACTAAGTTTCAGACCTC